TTGTCACGTAACATCGGTCGTACGTCAGTTGCCAAACACAGACCTTGAAGCATATTCAAAAATTATTCTACGTTTCAAAAATCCAGTCAATAAAACTCTCTGCGATCGAATAAGATCAACGCATTTATATGCGACTGTTCATTCAAAACGTTTTCAGGATACAGAACTTCTGCGTTATTTCAATAAAAGCTTGACGGCAACAACCACAAATGAACACTGACAAACTGACAAACATGCAGTTTCATTTTCATTTCAACACCACTTTGAACTTACCTCCAAATTCATTTTGGAACAATTGGTTGCCTTCGAGAGTTGCAGTCGCCCCATTGGTTATTTCGACACCTGCGGCCCGACCTTTGAAAATGCGATTCCGACGTAACGTTGGATTGGATTCGGTTGAGATCAGCACACCGGCTTGTGCGTTCCGATATATCTCATTCTCTTCGAGAAGGCCGCGACCCTTAAATTATTCCTCTTAGCCCATTCTACTATCCTTATTCTACTATCCTTGTTAATTCTCCTTATTTGCTGTCAATTCCTCAATGGTTTATCTCCCGAATAGATATCTATAATCAACGCGATCACGTTTACTTCAGTTACCATGCACAGAAATCGTGCGCTGAGCCAGATCCAATCACATCAACAAACCTTATTAAAAATACACACTCCACCATCACGACCGTCATAAATTTTGTTCCGTCTCAGGATCGGATGACTTTCCGTCTTGATCCAGACGCCAGCCATTGCATTGTCGAAAATCTCATTATCCTCCAGCACCCCCTTTCCACCATTGTACACCAAAACACCGCCGTTTTGACCACCCCAGATCTTGTTTCGAGTGATTTTCGGATTCGAACCCGTCCTGAAAGGAAATATTAGAAGAATTATTTTTTTCACAAATTATGATTTCGTTGAACGTGACTTTCCCTTAAATCCTTTTCGAAGCGTGATTGAAATTCAAAAACCATTTAACAATGAAACGAATAATTATCACTTTATTAAATAAGAGAGATTAGCGCTAACCTGATTTGAACACCAGAATAAAGGTGGTTGAAGATGTCATTCTCCTCCAGCAAACCATGACCGTTATCATAGAAATAGACTCCAACCTGTAAATCAACTTGCAATGAAACTTAACGATCATAAACTTGAATTTTTTCTTCTCAAAAAAAAACTTTCGAACATCAACAGAGCTGTTCAACTTCACTTTTCTATTCCACCATTCAGTTGCAAAACTCAACACTTCTCACATAAAAAATAAAAGTACAAGAGCTAAAAACTAGCAGATAAATAAGTAG